CAGAGTGCAGGAAGGGGGGCTAATTCAGTGTGCAGGGTGGGCACATTTAAGGCCCAATTCAGCCACCTGGCGAACACCTGGCCCAGCCCCAATCCAATTGCCTGGGCCTAATCTGGCTGTCCAGGACTTGGAAATTTGGCAGTGAAGTGGTGGTTGTGTTAATTGCCACCACTTCCCGCTGCCAAATTTTGCGGGCTGGAGGTCGAGCACCCCGGATGAGTTTATGCAATGCCTTAATCGATGCTGATTATGATCCATTTGACAGACAGGGGCAGGGAATGACTCATGTACCGTACTTCATGCTGCCTAGGGACAGCCCTTGGGAATGAGTACACGCAGCACAAGGAAGTATCAGTCCTGCTAAAGCTGGCACATGGTGGCACAGGTGTCACCGCTGGAGGCACCGTCAGTGGTGCCAGTGCAGGGGGCTGAAGAGCCAAATGTCATCTGTTCATTGACAGCAAAGAAGAGCCATTTAAAAAAACCCGTAAAACCCAAAAAGCCCCAGTGATCTCATGACCGAGTACACGAGCTGTTGCCTAAAGGTCAGTGCTGAGTGGTGCAGTTTGGATCCCAATGCTGAGCTGCAGCCTCTGCACTTTTGCCACTAACGTGTCCTTATCAGCTGTTGTGGGTACATAACTGTGTCACTCCACGGAGAACAAAAGGTTCCTGCAAAGGTCAAGAGAGAAAATTGCAAAGCAGCAAAATCTAAGAGGGGACAGGGAGGGAAACGGTTAATTCCAGGGTCGGGCTGCCCTTGCTCCAAGTGCTGCCCTCTCCTGATCGTGGCCTGTGTGCCACTTCCCAGCTCTGCTTTGCCCCGCGGCGTCACCCGGCTTCCTCATGCACCCGCAGCCCTTCTCCCCAGATCGGTGCTGCTCCATGGGGTCTCAGGAGTTTCTCTCATTTCCCCCTCCTCCAGGCCATTGCCCTCTGCTCAGAGCTTGTCTGCTTGCTCAGCTCATCTCCCTCCCGTGCCAGGTACCACCTGGGGCATACGGCAGCAGAGTTTTTAAGTTAGGGGCGCCTCTTCTTTGAAGACTAGCCTTGCCTTCACCATCCTTTTTGGCTAGGTAAGAGAAGGGTTTTGAAACTTGTTTCTCTTGTAAGAAGAGGTCAAAATGGAGAACCACTGGCTGTTGTCACTTCCAGCTTTAAAACCTAGGGCTGTCGAGGAAACTTCAGGTGGAAGCACATCCTGACCTCAGGGGCTTGAGCCCAGCTCTGGGCATCAGCCAGCATTTGCTCAGCCACTTCTGCCAGCAGCATCGGTGCTGTTTGCCCAGCCTGTCTCCTGCCTCAGCACCTCCGTTCTTCACACAGTATTGCCCTTCAGGGCTGGGACTGGGACCTGGCACTTCTAGGCCAGGACTGGACCTGAGCCCTCTTTCTCCTGGGTCTGTCGAGTCTCCTACAAGCTCTGTTTGTAGGGTGGCTAATGCACAGAGGAGAGGAATGAAGTAGGGAGCTGAACCCCGGGGAAGGGGTGGGACGACGACAGACAAATTGTCTCATCCAAGGGTCCATTTTTGGGTTGTGTTTTATGGGGCAAGGTCAGTTCTTAGTCCCCTTTGAAACTGTTAAGCCGTCCCTACCTCCTGTCCCTGCAAAGCTTGTCAGTGCTGTTAGCTTAGAGGTAGGGAGAAGCAAAGCGCAGTGATGAAGTGCAATGCTTTGGAAGTCGTCTGGCTCCCCAGTTGCGTGCCTGTCCTAGCCGGCTGCGTGATCCCTGGCCCATCCTGCATGTTATGAAGCTGCTCCGTCTAGCAAGGAGTGGTGTCCCAGATTGTCGAGGAGGAAGATGCCCTTGAGGTGCAGCCTCACGGCACCCACGAACTTGCTCTTGGGTGGTTGATACTCAGCACTTCTCCAGACCAGAGCTGCAGTCAGGGGACCATCCAGATGGCGCTGGATTTGGTAGAGCAGGGTCCCAGGGGCAGGGCTGGGAGGCTTTCAGTGCTACTCCTCATGGCACAGCAGTGATGTCTCTCCTTCCCTAACAGCTCCCCCTCACCAGCAAGCCTCAGTAGCCCAACCAGTCCCTGACATCAGCTCTGCCGTTTCACTCGGTAGCTGGTTGGGCTTTGAAGCTTGCCTGCAGCCCCCACCCTGCCACTTGAGGTCAGCTGCTTGCAGTTTCACTTCCCACTGCAAGGTGCTGCGGGGAAGATGAGGGAGGCTTGTGTTCAGAAAAGCGTTGAACTTTTCGTGCCAAGGCCCTCGGCACGCTCTCCTCGGCTCCCACAAGAGGTGGGGGACTCTTTGAGGAAATGAGGAAAGAGGCCTTGCAGCACTGGCCTGGCTTGGGGCCTCTGGGCCAGCGTTTGACGGGAAGGGAAGGGATTCCCCACCCGCTGCCTGCTTCCCTTCCACACCTGCACCCCGCTGAGTCCCAAGGGGGCTGATGCTCTAGCGGCCAGCACTGACCCGGCAACCCCAGGGGCTTACTTGGGAGCATCCCACCTGCAACCGTGGCTCATTGGCAAAGGTTCGACTCAGGAGGGGGCATGCAGAGGCTGGAGGCACAGCAGTGACGTTGTGGGGATGCCGCATTTGAGAGCAGCCCTTCTTGGATCTTGGAGAAAGGCTGTAATGCTCTGGCCCCATGCCTGATTGCGCCTGCTAAGACTTTAGGCCAGGGAGAGACTTCTTTCCCCCACCACTCAACCCGGTCCAGATCCTATATCCTATGTTTTATATTGAGCCCCAGGCCTGGCAGCAGGAGGTTTTGGGGAACTGGGCAGGGTCCTGTGGATAGCCATGCAGTGCAGAGAGGACCAGGAAAGCGGATGTGTTGCCCCAGCACCTCACTGGGATGTACTAATGGCCTTCATGTAAGGAGTCATCTTAGACGTCACAGCACAGTACCCCAGCCTCCAAGACGGAGGAGAGAGGAAAATCCTCATCTTAGGATCGAGTCAGTTCAGTAACCACTTTGATCTGTTTCTAGCCCTGCTGGCACCAGCAGCAATCTTGATATGGCCAGGAGCTGGAGGGCACCAAGGTTTCGAGATGTGCATGCCCTGGAGGCAGTGATGTGCATGCAGTGCCCCGGCTGAGTAATAACTTGTTGCTAAATGACATGGTGCAGGAGCTGTATTTGAACTGCCGGGGACCTGCGTCTCACCTGCGAGCCGGCCTTCCTGTCCTGTATTACGGGGATGGCCGCCCTGTGGTGTGGGTGTCACAAGGAGCATGGGGGGGCTCTGCGTGTGGCATGCAGTGACGCAAGGAGCGGACAGGCAGTGCAGGAGCAGAAAGCAGAGCAGGATACCAGGAAGGGAGCACAAAGTAGGGAGCAGAAAGCAGAGCAGCTCATTGGGCAGGGGACGGGGATTGAAGTGGCCGTTGGGGAGGGTACAGAGCTAATTTATGGCACTCCCGCAGGAAGGCTGGCCCCCATGGCTCTGTTCTGGCAAGGTTTCCAGACACCAGTTTCTTTCATAATATTCTTTGAACGGTCTCTGGATGGCAATAAACTCTAGCTCACTATTGCCCCCAGGGCTAGGGACAGAAATGACACACAAAATATAAAAGATCGGAAACCAGTTCAAATCTGCAATACAACAGAAGTTCTTAGTTTCATAGTTGTTAGGGGCTAGAAGGGACCTTAGAGATCATCGGGTGCAGTGCACATAAACTGCTTTCCAAATGGCCAAAACTGGGTTAAGATAAACTTGAATGGATGCAGTATCAGCCTGAACTGATCTAGGTTAAATCAGTTCAGGCTGATACTGAACTTGATGATCTTTCAAGGTCCCTTCCAGCCCTTGGTTTCTATGATTCTGTGTTGTTTGCTGCCTTGGCATCCGAGGTTAACATACACTGCTCCAAATAGCTGTGCACTTGTGCAATGGTTTTCATACAGCTGGCTGGTATCTTGAGATGGAGCAAGTGCACCTCTCAGATACTTCCCCATTCGGGTCCTGTGTTGAAACACACAGTTTTGTGGTTGGAGTCATTACAGCTGTGAAAAAGAGAACCCCCTTCAACTCCCCTGGTGCTATACTAACTCCCCCCGGGCTCAGGACTTATCCCTTGTCCACTCAGTCGGTGTAAAGTAGCTCAAGATTTTTCTGGACCAGCGTTTGGGGGGTGAGCGGGGAAAAGGAGGAGGTTGAAAGCATTGAGCATGAGACAGAATCAGAAACGCTGCGTTCTTAGGCTCAGCGTAGAACAAAAGTGCAATACTGAGAAGGTCTCTCTGGAGGCTTTCGTGACTTCAGCAACAGCTAGTATCATGAATGTTGATCATGAGAAGGCATTGCCGTAACACTGCCCACCACTTTAATTTCTATCCATCATCCTTATGGATCTTTGCCAGATGCAGACAAACGCCAGCTCCTAAACCAGGGCAAGGCATGTGTCAAATGAATAGCTCAGCATGTGTCCCTTATTCAGTGAATATTGACAATTGTCCAGAAATGGCCAGATAAATGGTAAGACGATATTCCTCGAGAGTTCTCCAATAACGTATCTGATTATAGCATTCAGCCAGTTCTCATGGTCTAGCAAGGGAGGCAAGTGATAGTCCCTCCGAACCTCAATAACTAGCCAGCACTAAGTGGCTTCTCATTACCCCCCTCTTTGGGGCAGCATCTTGAACAAATTACTGTTTTGACCAGATTAAAGAACTAGATTAGAAAGGAGTCAAGATGCGGCCGCTTGGCCGTTCCTGTGCTGGAGCTGAGAACGGTGGCTGAGACTTTCAAAGGACTTGGCAAATTAGGCAGTCAGGTTTCTCTCACTTACTGTAATGGGAGTTGTGTGAATCTCCTGTCTGTCTGGACATTCACACCCTCCCTTAACTCCCCAGTGTAGACAAACCCTTAAAGTCCTCTGAAAGTCCAGTTCCTCCTCCTAGGATGCTCCAAGTTTCTGGTGCCCTTTTTTGGAGGGGGGGGATAATGCCTCATCTCTGCTTCTAGGAAAAAATCTCACCTCTTTTGTGCAGGCTCTCTGCGTCCCCTTAAAGCAGGAAGTGCGTGAAAGGAAATTATACGCTATCAAAAAAATGCTGCATCTCTTCAGAAACTGTGAGTAGATCACAGGGGCAGAGCTTGTGTGCTTCTGTCAAGGCACAGGCATCCTCCACAGGAGCTGCTGGTGTCAGGAGTGAGCCGTCACGAAGAATGCTTTGTGTTAGAAAGGGAACCTGCTTGGTTTTGCAGGTCGGGCTGTGGCTGTGGACACAGCCAGGTCTAGCGCAAGAGTGCAGAAGCGGTAATTTAAAGCTCGTCAACGGGATGGAGAAATGCTGCCCGGTTTGTTCATCCAAACCAGGTAAGGAGCCTGGGCGGGGGAATCCTGCTCTGTTGTGTGCTGGCAGGAGAGTAGGCAAAATTAGACAAATTTGAAGGTGACGTGAGCAGAGTGTGTGCCCAAAGGAAAACAGAAACAGAAACATCTCCTCTCTCCTTGCCGGAGCTACAGACATCACTCTGGAGCCTCCTGGGTTTGATACCTGCCTGCACCAAAAGTCAGGGGATTTGGGCTCGGGCATGTTGTTTGAACCCATGGCAGAGAGAGAGAAGCGAGCTGCAAAATTTCCGGCCCAGCTTTGCAATCCAGTTTCTTTCTGGACTGTTGAGCACTGAGATCCCAGTGGAAACGAGAGCTACAGTGCGCTGAGGAACAGCGTCACACCTCTAAATCAGTGCCGTAGCAACAGGTCTGCCTTTGAGAGAGAGATTCGCTATCTGAAAAAGGGGCCCTGCTTCTCCCTTGGGTTGTGCCTTGGCAGAGCAGGTGCCCGGTGACACCAGCTCAGGCAGGAATCTGCCTAGGACAGCAATGGGAGCAGGTCTTGGATCTGAGTGGCAGACCGCAGCTGGGAAGGGTCGCCTTCCTCGTTGCTTTTGCCCTTTGAGTCGAGACTCGAGAGCTTTCTGTAGCTGGAATAGAGGGGACGGCCCTGCTGGAGGGACCCCTGCCTGAAACCCTCTGCCCTTCGTTACGGAGGAGGGCTGAGCAGGTGGTCACGACGGTCCTTGCTAGCCTCAGGAGCCGGCCTGCTGGAGCACCCGGGGGTCTCCTGGGCCGGTACCGCATCTACAAGGGCCACTCATTTTGGTGGCTTCAGAGCTTGGAGTGTGGTGGCTAACAGCAGCTTAGAGCAATGGCAACCTGATCAGCTGTGGGCTTTCATTTCTCATACATTGCTCAATCAGCAGAGGGTTTCCTTTTTCACTCACGTGGCTCTGAACAGGCTCCCCTGGGAAGGTTTTTGCCGCGTCCTACGAAGATATCAGCTCTCTGACAAGCATCAAGGCATGATGCTCACATGAGCGAGATGCATCTGTCCTTCCCCGTCGTCTTCTATACGGGTCCCTTGGGCTTTGATCGTGAGGGGCAGAGTCCAGTAAGGGGTGGGGGGTATTTGGTGAAGGGACGTGATCAGCACCCCGGATGAACCCAGCTCACCGCCGGTCAGCAGACTTGGCAAAGTGAGTTGCCAGGTCCAGGTCTAGTTTCCCAGGCTTTTGCACCCTCTCCCGCTGCATGTGCGGGAGGGGAATTGCCCAGGTGCTGCCGTCCATGCTATGGCAGTTCCGTGACTGGAGGCTTTAAAATCCCCCAAACCTAAAATAAATTGGAGGAAGGAAGTGGGTAACTTAATGCCAGTCAGTGGTAGTGAAGCGACTCCAGCCCCGGTCGCCTACAAAGTGCGGAGCAGCTTGACTCTGGTGGGAACGGAGGGTTTGGTTGGCCCAGCGCCTGATTTTCAGGTGAACAGTGCACAGAGGCAAGGTCCCTCAGCCCTCTTTCCTTCTGCAGTTTAATTTCTTCAAAGTCCTTGAGTCCCTTTTGCTACCAGTGATCCAGAAAAGCACCCCAAATCTCTATCTAGAAACGAACAAAAGGGGCCAAAGGTGGCCTGTGCTTTACCATTGCCTCTAGCCTTTCATGCGGTACCCTGATGCACAAACGCGTGCTTTCCCTCTCTTTCCCTCGAGGTCGCTGAGGTCTCAGGTAAGAAAGGGCTTTCTTCTTTCTTGCCCCAGGGTCTCCCCGTGCTCACTTCATTTCTTGATGTTACGCGTCCTTGGTGTTAGCTAGTCCAGGCAGCTCCATCCTTTGCTTTCATGAGCTCCGGAGCCACTCGGCAGTAGCTTTTCTATCTTGTGTTGTGTTAAAGCAAGTCAAAAGCAAGGGTGGAGTGCCAGTTGCAGCATTCAGATCTAGGCTAGGACCTAGGTTTTCTCTGGCTTTTGAAGAGGTCTAGGATTTTGATTTGGCCTCCTTTCTATCGAAGTAGCTCAGAGCACAGACGATGGAAACCGCAGCGGCGGAGGGCGGGGGCAGAGCATGGGGGTGAGAGAATGAAGACCTGGACCTTGGTGCTCTTTAGTCCAGCACAGGGGCAGTGTCTTGGCCACTAAGCAGAAAAAGTGCTACTTGTTCCCCACAGGCCCATCGACCCTGGCAAGATCCTTGCCCAAAAGCACTGAGTCTGCTTGCAGCTACCATCATTTCACCGCAGCGTAGGGTCCCCATTGACTGACCCGGAGTGCCTCTGGATTCACTGAGAGCACTGCTGGGTTCACCAGCAATGCCAAGAGCACTGCCCACCATATTCCTCCCTGGGAAAGGAGTTAATGTTCAAGAAGTAATGCCAGTGATCAAGCTGTGACAGCCAGCCTCTGAACTTCGCCGGATCAGGTATAACTGGGAAAGCTTAACTCCTTGTTGTCTTCCTAACAGAAAACCAATTTACGCCGTGTGCTAATGCAGAGGGTGACTGTAAATGTGGGGCTGGATACGAGTGCGCTGACCTATCCTGCACGTCCTGCAAACAACTCCCACGGTGCAAGGCAGGCGAGGAAATAAGAAGAACAGGTAAGTCGAGAAGCATGAATGAAGCTACCAAGCTGAGCTCTGTAATGGTAGCAAGCAGAGTCGGTCCATACAAGCTGCTGCTCCTCCATCATCCAGGCACGTGCACCCTGGCAGCCTTTTGGTGCTGAGGTAGGGATGTCTTAGCAGGCCAAGCATCTGGTACAAAGTACCGGAGATCTTTGCTCCCCAGCTTTTAAACTTTCCCTCCATAAATTTGATTTGGGATGAGTAGATCTCACGGCCAGGTGCATGGAGTTGCTTTTCTTTGGAGTCAGTAGAGGACGAGCTGGTACAACGCCGGTTCTTAATTTCCAGACTCCCAGTGGTAAATGCAACCTTTAAAACGCAGTGGGTTTTGGAAAGTACAACTCATTGTCAGAGCAATCGGACACAAACCCACCATCTCCTTACACGCTCGTCAGAGGTGCAAGGAAACAGGAGGATCGCTTTCTGTGAGGTTTCTGTCCAGATCCTTATCAGCGCTCTGCAAACAGCACCCAACCCCCGGGCACCTGGTTTGTGCATCACAAGGAGCCAACATTTCAGGGAAGGGGGCAAAAATATTCCAGTGCCAAAACCCACCTTTGCCTCAAACTGCAATAGGTAGGTAAATCTCTGCACTTTGCTGTGGAGATGTTCAACTGCCCACCAACTTTTTCTAAGTTGCATTTCCAAGCTTGATCATTGCACATCCTTCTAGGAGAGGTGTAAAGAATACAGAGACATCTCAGTGCACCAGGGCTTTGAGTACAGCCTGGTTTCTGGTTGCTCTCCTGGCAATGGAGAGGATTAATCGTAATCAGGCATAATATTGACTGTGAATGAGAGAGGACTGGGACCCCTGAAAGGTCTTGAGAGTGAAGACAGGTGGTTTATGTTCGAGGCAATGGAGAAGAGGGAGCCAGTGAAGGTATGCAAAGACAGACCATTCCTCTCTTTCCTGTTACTCCATAGCCAATTCTTTTCTTTTCTCTTCTAGGCAGGATTGATTTTGAATTCATCTGCAAACCCTGCAAAAATGGCACCTTTTCCAAAGCCGGGGACACCAGATGCAAACCTTGGACTAAGTATGTATTCATGAATGGTCCTTTTGTTGGCCCACCCACACAATGCATGCCCCAAGATCATCTTAAACTTCCACGTTGCCAGAGGTGCCCCAAGAGGTTTTCTGGGTTACTTCCACTCTCGGTGCTGAGATTTAAGAGGTGGTTTTGTTCACCAGGATGCCATGCGAAGCTATTGTTTGGTTTTGTGCCCGAGACATCTCAAAGTGAAACTCGGTCAAATCAAAACACCTTGTGTGAGACCTACTTTCAGAACTGAGCTACAAACCGACACGAATCCCTTCCAGGCCTGGCGGTGGTTTGAACGGGATTGTATCTCAATCCCGATCTCACGATCAGGAGATCTGTGCCCATGTTGGCCAGCGAGGTCAACCATAATAACTGGGGGGTGGGGAGGAGGGGAAGAAAACAGACAGATGGGTTGCAGGGAGAGAAAAGGCTAAAGGCAGGGAGAAAACCAGAGACTTTCAATACCACTCTTTCTTCTTTTTAGGCATCCAGGTCCTAGATGTGTAATGATCCAGCCAGGAAATGCAACCCATGATGCAGAGTATGGCAAAGATGAACCTTCTGTGGAGCAAGGTATGTCCAGAGCAGCATCTCATTTACCTTGATGGTCCCTTCTACCCTGGAGACATTTTTAGGCTTTGACTCAGTCCTGAGGGACATTGTTGCTGTGGCTGTGGAAATGACCACCGCATCACCTGCAGTGTTTTCGCCGCCAGAACGACTTGAGCGGCTGACGAGTTCAGGTCCCCTGCATCATGAGAGGATCATTAATCATAGACTTCATTGAGTCAGGAGGGAGAAATGGAGATGGCATATGGCTCACCTTGAGAGGTGTTATGATCCCAGCACTCGTTCCTGCCCGTGGCAGGGGGTCAGATTTGATGATCTGTTCAGGTCCCTTCGGACCCTAGAAACTATGAAGCCATGGCAGGGGTATAACTGAACGGTTCCTTAACAAAACTTATTGGAGTTTACCATCGGGCGGCTGCAACTTTGCGGAGCTCTCGGGAGACTGCTTAGCAATTAGTCACCCACGTTTCAATTTCTTCGGTCTCGTTCCCTATGAAGTGACTGTTGTGGGTCCAATTCTTCCAGCTATCAGTTAGCAGCACGGCTGAAAACAAGAGGATGCAAGTTACAGGGAGGAATACACACACACACACATACACACACGCAATTTTTTTTATCCTTTATATACATACTGAAACTCTGAAGAGCTGCCCACCTTCAGATATTTTGGAGATAAGATCAAGTTGAGAGAGCTAAGCACTTGGTGGGATCAAGCTCTCCATATTTCTACAGAGCAGAATTGTATCAGTGCACCCCATTGCCTTCTCTTGTGTTGCAACGAGAGTAGCTATTCAGCCCTTTATTCTACTGCAGAGAGACCTCAGGCCAGGTGTGATGTGCAGCGTGGAAGACCACTGAAGCCGATGAGTAATGGATGAAAAGATGGTGTGTGGGTCCTCATTACAAAGCAGAGCTGGGTGCTTAAGGCTGGGCAAGGGAGAGGGATACACTGAAGCAAAGAATATCCCGTCTACAAACAATGATCTCCTGCATGCAGGATCCTAGCTGACTTTGTGCCCTCCTGATTAGTAACTGTAGAATGACTTCTCTAGTGAGTCGGACACGGTTTTTTGGCTAAATCCAATATCTTTTATTAGACCGATTCAAATAGCTGGAAAAATTCTTCTTAGCAAGCTTTTGGGCGCAAACGCCCTTTGTCAGGCTGAGGACACATCTGCAGCTGCTCTGTGCTCGTCGTGGAGGGAGAGGTAAAGCAGCCAGAGACTAGTACATATGCAAGAAAGCCAGTCAATGGACATGTAAATTGAGGTGGTCAGTAGGTGAGAGCCAGGTGGGGAGGGGAAAAGGGGGAATGAATGAGTAGCTGTAGTCAAAGGATGGGAGACAGGAGGGTGGTGGGGAAGGGAATGAGAATAGCTGGTCAAAAGTGGAGGGCTTACCTGGGGAGTCAGATGGCAGGCAGGTTATAATGTGTCATAAATCTAATGTCTATATCTAGTCCATACAAAAAACTAGGACACTTGGTTCCAAAATGATACCTTTTGTTAAACCAACTGGGAAATATATTTAGTCCACGAATTTTTGTGTCCAGCAGCTTGATGAAGTGGAGTTCATAGGCTTGTCTGTGAAAGGTATTTTCTATAGTGAATCCTAACTCTGCTTGTGATTAAGACGTGGTAAAGTGATAAGGTCTCATCAAGTATTTCCTTGTTGGCTTTCCTGTGGTTCAGGGCGTAGAACGTCACATATGTTAACCTCTGACTATTCATTTCTTTGCAGGCATCCTTTCATCTTTGGAGTCCTCGTCTACCACGATCATGGCAATCCTGACTGCAGTGGCTATCTTCATTCTCATCCTGATGACCTTCCTCTTGCACCTCTTCATATGGTCACTGAAGAAAGAGAAAGTCCACATAGTTCAAGGTCAGTGCAGGCGTATAGTTTGTTGGCTGCTGAAGGGAGATGCCTGGTGTTAGGGGGCCAGTCCAGGACTTGGTAGATCTGGAACAATGTCCTGCTCCCAGTGTGTCTGTGCCTCAGTTTCCCATCTATCTCCCCACCCCTTCCTCACAGGGATGTAACGTCAGACCTGCACTCCATAGTGTAGTAGGGAGAGCACAAGATGCATCCACCCTCGGAGCTGCTCTTGGGCAGTGTGGCCCTTCCTTTCTGCTGGCTGAACAACACTGTGTTGTGTCACTGTATGTGCTGCCATTTGGGCTTATGTAGAACAGATCCAACATGTCTAAGCACCGCTGGCCAGATTTGTCTGTGCGCCAAGGCCTCTTGATATAGCCAGTGCAGTGGGGGCTTTCGTCCCTATCCGTTCACAGGCATTCCCGAGTGGTCAAAAGGGGCTGAGGATTGAGAAGACAAAGAAGAGACAAAGATCCAGCCTTTATTTTGGGGTTGGTGATCCATTTGGTGGCATGGAGGACAGCAGGTGCGAGGCAATGCCTTGCTAAGCACCTGCTACTACTGGGCCTCCCGAAGCGTCCTCCATCCTGGCAGACACTAGACCAGGGGTCACCATGGGGAGAAGCCTGCCATGCAGTCCAGATTTCCCAGGGAGTTTGCAGCACCTGGGACAGTTGAGGGCATCACTTGGACATATTCCAGGTTTTGAAGCAAAGCAATAATACACTAATGTCTTCAGATGAGGAACAGCCTCATGTTTCTTCCAGGGTGCAGCTCTCAGGCACACACAGACTGTGAGGACGGGGTATTACTATTTCCCTGATGCGTGGCTTTGTGCCTCAGTCATAAACGTAACCCCTGATTTCCGATCCTTTCCTTGCAGAACCTGAAAATAATTCCATCTTGATGCCACCACCAACAAGCCACCTTGTAGAAGATACCTACAGCTGCCAGTTCCCCGAAGAAGAAGCTGGAGACAAAATAATTGAAGAAAAACCTTCTTGCATCACCATATCGGGCCTGCACTGAAGAGGTGGATGGAAGGCAAATATCGGTGAAAAGGGAAGATTTGAATGGCTTTTCACACACGGACAGACTGAAGGGTGGGGACAAAGATAATCTCAGAAACATGGCAGTCTTGCAGTAGGAATTGAGGAACTATTCCCTCGAGCTGGCATTTGGCTCAGCCCCTATTCTTTTTGGCCAGTTCCTCCTATTCTGATCTAAGTCCTTTTCAGCTCAGCCTGGGACCAGAACATTTTGTCCTTGTTCTTCCCGTATGCATCACGTGCTTATAACCGCATGGTGTCTCCCATAGAGTCGCATGTCAGTGGAGAATCCGGGTCTCTGTTTTAATAGCATGAAATTACTTAAACAGAAGCCAAGATGCCATTTTAAACAGATAAATTGAGGCCTGTTGAGTCCACAATCTGGGTATGCAAATGTCCCTGGGCACTTATGACAGCTTTCACTTGGAAGGCTTCATAATAACAAGGGCATAAATGCGCTTGCTCGGATGAAAGGAGCAGAAGTGGCAAACGGTGGTTTAAGGACTATACTCTGTGCTCTGTTGCATGCAATTAGATTGCGTTTCACCCCAAATAAGTGTTAGATCGAGAGGCAACCCTTCATGGAATATGTGAGACATTTTGCCGGCTGTGGTGGAAACAGAATTTCCTTGTTGCTTTTGACGATGATGCAAATTGCAGTCTACAATGCTGCTTCCTGTTTGGTTTCGGTGAGAGGCTGGTAGGGCCATGTCACTGCGTGTGTGTGTAAGTGCCACTTCTGAGCTAGCCCTGGGCGCTTGTGCTCGTAGGGACTCTTCTCACAGGGACAAGGGCTTTGGAGACGTGTTTTGGCTGTATGGATTTGTTTCTGCAGAACACTCCCCCCCTCTCCCCAACCCCTTCTTCCTTGATTCAAATCAGTTTTTGTTCCAGGAATATTTAAATAAAGCACCCCCAAGCCTGTCTGGAAAACTAAGCTGAAGGCGATGCAGTCCAAGCAGCAAAGATTCTGCGTGATGAGTCCTCCTCCCCTGGCTCGGGGAATAACCAGGAGAATGAAACAGGAAACAAAATAAAACTGGCTCCGTATTTTGGCTAGAGGAACCTCAAGCCTCATCCTCCCCGGGTGTAAGCCAGCCCAGCTCCAGTCTGGTAACCAGTGGGCTCTGAGGTTCCAGTTCCCCGTTTGCAAGAAGTAAAACTAGACCCCACCGATTTTTACATGGGTTTCCAAATTGACAGGACAAAACCTCACCTTCCTATTTCCCAGAGCCAAAGCCTCAGCTGAGGCTAGCCTCCGTCAGAAGAACTGCTTTGATTTCCATCAGCTGAGGATGATCCCAGGCCTCGGGTTCAACTAGCGACGCCTGGGGGGTTTTTGGATTCGATCCGATTGCCATGTAGGGTCAATAGCCTGTCTCCCTTGGAAAGAGCTGTGCGCCCTCTGAGCAAGCGTGAGGTTTTGAGCCAGTCTTCACATGAAAGGTAATAAAGCAAACACACCCCTATCCAGTAAGAATGATAGTTTCCTTTTTTTTTAATTTTTTTTTTTCCCCTAGAAAACTGGAGCGATACCTGTAAGTATGACATGCACTGGAAATGTTACCGAGTGGATAACTGAAATCGGGTGTAGAAATAGTGTCATTAGCTGGGTTACATCACATGCCGTTTCTTAGCTGCTAGTCCGTTCCCAAGAAACCCGTTATACACATCGTTATAGTTCCTTATAAAGTTTCGGACCTGCTTTACTTCTCGGCAGATCCTTAAATTGCTCATTCTTCTCCCTCCCTGGAAATTGCAACATGTCGTCGTTACCCTGCCAGAAGCGGGTTCCCTGGGGCTAAATGTTGGGTTTTTTGTTGCCTTTCCTGCTTGCCCTTGGCTGTTACTGTAAGGGGGAGGGTGAAGAACTGTATCTCGGCACTCCCGCACAACACGAGGAGTCGGGACTCCTGGCTCCCCTTTCCAGTTCTGCAGCTGTCTTGCTGTGTGACTCAGAGCAAACTGCTTAACCTTTCTGTGTCTCAGGGATATTGATACCTACCTCACAGGAACAGCAATAGTGGGGACATGCAAGAGGAGCCAGAAGGATTGAACTGAAAGGATGGACTTTACTATCCTCAAGGATCTTTAAGCTCTGGGTTCAGAGATCATTTTAAGCTGCCCTGCAGTTCTCTGGCTACCGTTAAAATGGATATCCTCAACATTTTGATGTCTTCTGTCTAGGCTGTCATTCTGTACATAGCATGTCCTTGAAATGGTCCTTTTTATTTACTGGGTATGTTGAAAAAAAGTTCCTTACTATGACCTTTTGTAAAGGCAAAATAAACATCCAAACTCAGTAAAATGTCACGTGGATTGAGCAGATTTGAACAGTTGCTTTTTTTTTTTTTTTTTTTTTTTTTTCGGGGTTGGGTTTTTT